AGGCTTCTTTCTTTCTTCCTTCCTTCTTTTCTTCTTTTCCTTCCTTCTTTCTTTCTTCCTTCTTCCTTCTTTTCCTTCCTCCTTAAAATGAATGCCTTGGCCTCCTATTTATAGAATTCCAAAACTTGATTTTTGGATTTAAATAATCAGATGAAATAAATCATTTCTGCCAGGTATTGACACGTGTCCTATTTGATGACTTTTCCAATTTATTTCGATTTTTCGTTGAGTCACACGCTACATGTAAAATTTATGTGATACGTGAGCGTTGAAATTTTAATTTTTGGTCAACATTTATTTCACCGAAATTTTGATGTCTACAAATGCCCCCACTTCAAGGCGTGTCGTAGACATGTGCTTGTCACGTGTAGAAGATGCGTTTTGAAGTCCCTTAATGTAGATGTCAACCCAAGGGCCGTCGAGGCTTGATCTTGAATTGGGCTGGAAATTTCTTCAAGGGCCATCGATGCTTGATCTTGAGTTCGACTGGAAGATTTTCTGGTTTCTTCCAATCGTTGATTTTCCACAGGCTTAATCTTGAACTGGGCTGGAGGATTCTTTTGGTCTTCCCTTATCGTTGATTTTCCTTTGTGCTACTCTTGAACTAGGTAGCATGATTCGGACACATGGCAGGCAAGCACGAGGTGGAAGTGATGACCTGTTTCTTTGTTCAATCTTTCCAATTCGTATTGAAGAGGGTAGATCGGAAGACTGACTCCAAGTGCCGGCTGATTGCTCTTTTCACTTTGCTATGCGAGTAAGAACAAGGACAAAGGAAAGGACATAGATAAAGCATGATATGAGATACCTTTGCTTTTGAAGAAGCAGCGAATGAATCAGCATATATATTTGTTGTGTTTGTCTCCACATGCTTTGATGTATCATTTTCACTTGTCTTACTTGCTCCCTTTGCAGAAGTGGTATTTCCTTATGCAGGTTTGGCATCTTCTCGTGTAGTATTTGTCCTCTGATGCAGGAGTGGAATGCAACCTTTGCATTTAAATGGTGCTTCAAAACATTACTTCTCCGCGACGATGAGTACTCGAGAGCAATGCAAGGTAAGCAACCAGGCAAAGGTTCCAGGCAATTAGTTCCAGGTCGGAAGTTTGATTTCAGGTTCTGACTGATAACTCTATTTCCCCTTCTCCTGCAGGTAAGAGCAAGGGTAAAGGAAAAGACAGGGAAAAAGCATGATATGAGATACCTTTGCTTTCGCCCTTGATGATATGAGATACTTTTGCCTTGGTGTCAATTGTTTGCAAGGGCATTCCCGAAGAGGAAGAAAACTGAGCATTTTGAGATGCTTTGCTGGGAGTGTACTCTCGGAGGTGAGGAAGAGTTGGGCATTTTTTTTTTTTCTTGTTTGCAGGTTTACCTTGCCATAAAAGATGAAGGTCGACATATATAGGGATTTCCCAATAACAAGTGGTGGTACTGTTCTTTTACCCTTGTCGACAAACGTTTTGATCCCGCAAATCCGGCTTTTTGAAATAGTAATGACTCTTCGATCTTTGAATACGCCTCTTTGATTTCTGAACGACGCCTCTTCGATTTCTGAACGAGTGCCTCTTTTGACAAAGCTGCACGCGTTTTCTGAAAAGCAGAGAAAGCGTCGCCTAACTTACGCTTGTCAGCTAAAGATGTGTAGCTGCGATGATAACCTCCACGTGATCTTTTGACAAAGTGGCACCCGTGCTCTGAAAAGCCGCGAAAGCGTCGCAAGCCTCCACGTGTTTTCAACTTTGTCGGAGATCTTTTGACAAAGTTGAACACGTTTTCTGAAAAGCAGAGAAAGCGTCGCCTAACTTACGCCGGAAAATCCAGCTTTTGAGATTTGCAGAGCGATGTCTCTTCATTTTTTTTTAAACAAGCGGCCCTTCGATTTCTGAGCAAGCGCCTCTTCGTTTTTATAGAGGTATTGATCACCTCTAACATGCACACTTTGAAGGTTGCTCATTCCTGAAAATCATCTCCGGCCTTTTGAGTTTTAACTCCATCCACCCATCTCTTTTAACACCTTTGAAAAATGGCTAACCCATCGAACATTAGCTTAGAATTGAGTCTCAGCAGTGATCCGGTTGCGCCGCTTCAAGGTAATGTATGGTGTCCTTCTTTCTTATCTTCTAACGGTCCTCTTACAGGTGAAGACTCAGTGATGCAGGACGCCACAACAGCTACAATAGTAGCTAGGAACCTCCTTACTCCAAAAGATAGTAGGCTGCTGTCAGGACGGTCCGATGAGTTGGCCGTCCAAGAGTCCCTCGCTCTTAGTGTTCTGTGTGCGGGCTCTGTGTCCAACATGGGCCAACGCCTGCTTGCTCGGTCCCGTCAAGTGGAATCATTGATGGCAGAGGTGGAAGATCTTAAGCAGGAGATTAAACAGCTTAAGTACGAGAATAGAAGTTTGCATGTGCTTGCAAATAACTATTCGTCGGGCATGAAGAGGAAGCTTGATGAGATGCAAGAATCTCAAGGTCGCATTCAAAGTGACCGTCAAAGGCTTGCGTCTTTCTTCCAGAGGCACATTTTTCCGGCGTCATCAAGCGTTCCACCAAGTATTGGGGCCTCGAATGATCTATCTTCGGTGCTTCCTGCTCCTGGAGTTTGGCCAAGTAGTGGGGCTTCACGTGAACGACCTTTGTGAAAGCTCCATCTTTTTTTTTTTTTTTTTTTTTTTTTTTTTTTTTTTTGTACAAACTTGTAATTTCTGGAAAATCAATGAACATGCTTTGTTTTATTTAGTGTATTGTGCTAAATACAGAGAAAACATGTACATCACCGTCCATCATCATTTTTTTATTCTTTCCTTTGCTTTCGGTGGCGCTGATCCACCGTTCATTTATATATATATATTTCAGATGGTGCCAGAAGCACCACCATTGTTTTTTCTTTCTTTTTATTATATATATATATATTTTTTTTTTTCTTTTTGCACATGGCTCCAGAAGCACCATCATTTTTTCTTTTTAATTTTTTTTTATTATTCTTTTAAAAGATGCTTCCCAGCATCATAATTACTACTTTTTTTTTTTTTTTTTTTTCTTTTGAAATATGCTTCCCGGCTAATAATTGCTACTTTTTTTTTTTTTTTTTTTCTTTATAAGGCCATCTGCAAGGCTGAGTTTCGTGGGTGAAAACCCAGGCCGAGTCCGAGAGAAGACGGAGGAGATCTTTGGGTGTGAGTTGACAAACTTTGATTTTGTCAATCACATTCAAAGGCAGCAGCAGAGGCAAGCAGACGGACGAGATCTTTGGGTGTGAGTTGACAAACTTTGATTTTGTTGATCATATTCAAAGGCAGCAGCCATGGCGGAGGTGCAGACCAGAGCTTGAAGTAGTGCAAAGCGTCGAGCTTCATGATCGGCTAGTCGTTTGACAGCGGTCACTGAAGTTCTTCGCCGATTTTGACCACGGTAGCCAGAGTGAAGCTGAGGGTCTTGCAGGCGAGGAGCTGCATGGATGGAGAGGAAGAAGTGCCTTGTCGTGTTCTGTTACTTTCTCTAACCTCTCTTACTGACTTCATGTTCCTTTGTTGCAGAAAAAGGGGAGCAGAGCTCTTGGATTTGATTGGAAATTCACAGGTGGTGAACGCAGGGGGTCTCGGCAGGGTGGCCAGAGGCGGAAGGTGGAGGCCGCCAATGAGACCGGCGTTAGAGAGGTTGAGGGAGGTGACTGCTCCGTCGAAGGAGCAGGTGATGCCTTTCCATGAGCAGAGAGGAGTGGTGGAATCAGGTTTCCAATCAGATAAGATGCCGTGGGGATCAGATACAACAGAAGATTGTTTGAATGCATACAACATCTCCACCACATCACCACCGCCACTGCCACCGCTGCTTGAAGACAAAATTCTGGCGCCTGAGGTCAAACTTAGGAGCAGGTGGATGTGAAAAACAAACACAAGCAGAAAGGAAAAAAAAAATCCCATCATCCCTTGTTGTGATCTGAACCTCTAATCTCTCTTCAACATCATCAACCTTTCAGAATTCCATGAAAGAAAGGTATCTTTTTGTTTTTTTTTTTTTTTTTACAGATTTCTGAAAATGAAGAAAAATATAAAAACTATACAATTTTCGTTCACCTAAAACTCAACCAGTTTTCTTCATTCCAGATCTGAGCTGAAAGTCTGAACCTCCATATCATTTCTTCCACACATTTCATCAAGTGGGGCGAAGGCGGGGGTTATTTCACTGATATTTGATAAGGCCGTGCTAGAACCTACATTTTGCCCCATGTATGCTCTTCTATGTTCTGATCTTAATGAAAAGCTTCCTCGGTTCCCCTCAGATGAACCGGATGGTAAAGAAATCACTTTCAAGCGCATCCTCTTGAATAACTGCCAGGAGGCTTTTGATGGCACTGACAAATCGAGAGAAGATCTCTGCCACCACTGGATTTGTTTTCTTGAGCCTTCATCCGAGCTCTTTGTACAGAAGGAAGCCCGAGAACTCAGCAGATGCAGAACCAGCAAGGTAGATCAAGGTCTTGTACTTGGCAGCAAAATCTGGTCCAGCAAGGTCAGAGTAGTACTTCTTGAAAAATTCATAGAATCCAAACTTGCAGACACCCTGAGCACTGTAACCAAGGAGGGTAGGCGAACAATGAGCGGTAGCTGCAACCCGAGCCCACAGTCCGGTTTCGGATCCGAAACCTTCTTCACGATCTTCAGCAGATCGATCTCTTGGTGCGGCAGAGTCGCCCTCCCGTGAGGACGGACGGCAACGTTGCCGGAGGAATTGACGGTGAAGTAGGGCCCACCCCAGGCATCGATTCGGTAGGGACAGGGACCAATGGGAATTGTCGGCGGCGACGCCTGAGGAAGAAGACGAAGGCTTTCGATTCGTTCTCGAAATTCCAGGAATGTACTTCTTAGCATAATGCATCAAGCACGTTTCCACCATCTCCAAGCTCAGATCTCCAGATTTCATGGCGGAAATCAACCGCTTGAAGAGAGGCAAGCTCAGAACGACCAAGTCTTCAAGCCATGAATCCGCGTGTTTGGATCTTCTACTTCTGTGACTGTCTCTGCATCTACCCCATGATTAGCACAGATCTCTTTAGCTTTCTCCAACAGCCCCAACGCAAACTTCCTGTGATTTTCCTGGGAGGAGTTAACAAGCTCCTGACTGGAAGACATAGGATAGTACATGCGAGCACTGCCGAGCGACGCCGAGAAGATGACGTTGCCGGTGGAGGGAGTCTGAGCCGTGAAGATGATCAAGGGCAACTTGGTTATGGAATCTTTGAGGTTGGAAAGACGACCCGGAAGTCAAAGTCAAAGGGGCTCGCCGGAACCGGGCGTGGCCGGTCCGGGTCCGACCCAGAAGAGAAATGACCTTCTTGAACTTGGAAACGGCGACGTCGGCGACGGCTTTGCAATCCATGTCCATAGCCGTCAACGGATACTTCTCTTGGTGCTGGTTCTGCTGCGTCTGCGACAGCAACCGAATAAGCTTCTCGACGCTCTCGAGGCCGGAAGCCGCTTCCTGCAGGGCGTTTTCTTCCAACTCGGCGGAGAAGCTGCTATTGCTGCTGGTGTTTCTGTAACCCATGAAATCAACGGCCATATCTGACCCTCTTGAGCATAACAAGGAAAAGGAAAAGCAGCAGAACAGAGAAAGCAGAGAGGGGAGAGGAAAAGGAAAAGCTCTTGAGATTGGCGCAGTAGATGTCGCAGGCTTTGGTCTTGGTGAAGGGGAATATTTTGTGGAGGTCGATCTTTTTGTGGGTGTATGGCGGTTTTGAGAGTGAGTAGGGCCCGGTTCTTTTGGGTATATGGGCCTTTGTCCTCAACACAACAATCCAGCCCACCATTTTGGGCTTGTCGACATTTTGCTTCTTTTTTTTTTTTTTTTTGTTTTTTTAAAACCAACAACATGTAATTTTTTTTTGTACAAAGAACGTAATAATATTGACTTTCATTAGTCACTTTTACTACAACCTCATTTTGATGTGATTGAACTCAAAATTAAACGTTCGAGCTACCTACGTACCCTTCCAACGAAGAGATCAAGTCGAAACGTAGTTCAAACGTTTTTTTTTTTTTTTTTTTTTTTTTTTTTTAATAGAGAATATATATATATATATATATATATATATTTTCTAATACATAGTAACATATGTATTTTTTTATTTTTTTTATGATGGTGTGACTGTACTTGAAGTTTTGAAGTTTCAAGTTGCCTACGTACCCTTGGTTGAGGAGGGATCAAGTCATGACGTAGTTCAAATGAGTGATGGTTTTGATGATGATTTTTCCGTACACAGTTTATGCTCTTGCGGGCCAGGAGCATGGTGCGTTTGCTTTAGGGGTAGTAGCGCTTCAAAAATCTGCCGTTGATGGGGCCGATCCTTAACCCGTCTTCTGCCATGATTAAGTAGGCGCCATTGGTGTAGATTTCTTGTATCACGTAGGGTCCATCCCACTTTGATGTGAACTTGCTTTTTGTCTTATGAGTTGTAATGATAGGCCTACGCAACGCCAACACGAGATCTCCGACTTGGAAAGACCTTGGGCGGATTTTCTTGTTGAATGCCTTGGATAACCGTGCTTGGTAGCATTCCAAGTGTTGTTGAGCTTCGAGCCTTTTCTCATCCAGCGCTTCCAACTCCTGAAGGCGCAACTTTGCATTTTCTTCATCAGTCAAGCCTTCTTGTATAGCCATCCTTAGTGAGGGGATTTGACTTTCGAGCGGTAGAACAGCTTCTACGCCATATACAAGAGAATAAGGTGTAGCTCGGGTAGGAGTCCTATGTGTAGTCCTATATGCCCAAAGCGCTTCACTTATTCTTTCATGCCAGTCTCTCTTTGTTCGGCCGATTACCTTTTTCAGGAGGTTGCACAACGTCTTGTTGAATGCCTCTGCCAGGCCGTTGGCCGGAGCATGATACATGGAAGACTTGTGCTGCTTGAACTTGTATTTGTCGCAAAGCTCGTCCACGAGTCGGTTGGAGAACTGCTTTCCGTTGTCAGTGATAATGTAACGAGGCACCCCATATCGGTGGATGATATGCTCCTTGATGAAACGAACAACAGTTTCCTTTTTTACTTCCCTTAAAGGTATGGCTTCAGCCCACTTGGAGAAGTAATCTGTTGCAGCTAGGATGTAAGCTTCCCCTGCAGATGACTTTGGCGTAATTGGTCCTACAACGTCCAATCCCCATGCGTCGAACGGCCATGAAGCAACTGTAGGGTGTAATGGTTCAGGCGGTTGATGTATGAAGTTGGCGTGGAACTGGCAGGCTTGGCACCTTTTGGCGTGTTCCAGGCAGTCCTTCACCATACTTGGCCAGTAGTAACCCATTCTTTTAAGCCGGAAATGTAGCTTTGGTCCAGACTGATGTGCCCCACACACACCTGAATGTGCTTCTTCCATGGCTTGATTAACTTCTTCCTCACCTAGGCATCTCAGGAGTACTCCTTCAAAAGAGCGTCGGTAGAGTGTTCCTTTGTAGTAAAAGAAGCGAGGTGCCCGTCGACGTATTTCAGAACGATGTCTAAGATCATCTGGAAGCTTTCCGTGCTCTAAGTAGTCAATCAACGGCTGTCTCCACTCTTCAGCATCGACTGGAAGTACTGAGATGACATTTGTATCATCTAGTGACATTTCATTAACGAGCGGAATCACCCACCTTTGGCAAACTGGCACGTCTGCAACTTCATCTTTTCCTAGTGTCATACTCGAGGCTAGATTGGCACGTCTGCTAGCGCTTGTCCCTTGACAGCTTTAGCTGAGACATAGATGATCTCATATTGATTAAGAAGCAAAGCCCATTTAGCGAGTCGCCCCGTCAAGACTGGCTTAGACATAACGTATTTGACAGGGTCGGCTTTAGCAACCAAGTGGATGGTGTAAGCATGCATGTAATGTCTGAGTTTCTGAATGGCAAACACCAAAGCGAGGCACATCTTTTCTATTGGGGAATAGTTCAACTCAGCGCCGGTGAGAGTCCGACTGAGGTAGTAAAGTGCTCCTTCTTTTTGGGATTCATTCTCTTGCGCCAAGAGTGCTCCGATTGAATTTTCCTGAGCAGCAATATACAATATGAGTGGTTTTCCGGGCACAGGTGCCCCCAGGACAGGTGGACTTGACAAATATTTCTTTATGCTTTCAAAAGCATTATGGCACGCTTTGTCCCATACGAATGGGACATCTTTCTTCATAAGGCGACTGAACGGTTGACAACGCCCTGCGAGGTTGGAGATGAAGCGGCTAATGAAGGCTAGCCGTCCTTGTAGACTTTTCAGCTCGTGCAGGTTTCTTGGCTCGGGCATGCTCTGAATGGCCTTGATCTTTGATTGGTCTACTTCAATACCACGGTGCTTGACGATGAAGCCGAGGAATTTTCCAGAGGTGACGCCAAACGCACATTTTAACGGGTTCATCTTGAGGTTGTATTTTCGCAGCCTTTCGAACACTATTCGCAGATCCTTCAAATGGTCTAATCTTTTCTTCGTCTTAACCACCACATCATCTACGTAACATTCTACGTTTTTGTGTAGCATGTCATTGAAGATTTTCTGCATTGCGCGTTGATACGTAGCTCCAGCGTTCTTTAGACCAAAAGGCATCACCTTGTAGCAGTAAATACCTTTTGGAGTACGAAAGGCTGTTAGTTCCTCGTCTTCGAGGGCCATGCGAATTTGATTGTACCCAGAAGAGCCATCCATGAATGATAATGCCTCATGGCCAGTGGTTGCATCCACCATGATTTCAATGATTGGCAAAGGGAAGTCGTCCTTTGGGCAAGCATCGTTGAGGTCCCGGAAGTCTACGCAAACACGTATTTGTCCTGATTTCTTAAGGACAATGACGATGTTGGAGATCCACTTGGGGTATTGCACTTCTCGAATAAAGCCTGCTTCGATTAGCTTGTCGATCTCGACCTCGATTTGTGGGATAAGCTCAGATCGATAGCGTCTTTGAGTTTGCTTTATCGGTCGTGTTCCAGGCTTGACCGCAAGATGATGAACAGCGATGATAGGGTCCAGACCGGGCATTTCTTTGTAGGTCCAAGCAAAGACGTCTTTGTACTCTAACAACAGCTGATAATACTCCTCTATCTCATCTGTACTTAATAATGCACTTACGAAGATAGGCTTTGGTTCCTTGCTTGTACCTAAGTTGAGTTCCTTGAGATCATCGACCGTGGCTTGCCCCCCGTCTTCGAGCTGTGGTGGTGCAGCAGTGACATCTTCCTCGGGGATTTCGTCTTCTTTACCTTCTTGAACCGTGATGTGGAAAACATCTTGGATCTCCTCTTCAGTGCTGTCTTCTTGAGCTTGTTGGCATAAGGATTGTCTGGTGTGGATGATAGTACGCCTTCTCACTTTCAGTTGTCCCTTTGTGTCGACCTCCAAGATTGCTTGGCGCTTCATCCTTGAAGGAATCAAGCTTCGAACGTCATCTTTTTCTCCTAACCCATCGAGCTTTTCTTCCGTTGGTGTTGTCTTCCTCTTTCCAAAAGGCTTCTCATTATCTTCAAATTTTTCTGAAGCTGATCGTCGCAGAGGAGAGATAACTGTGCTGCTTTGTTTCTTAAGCTTTAACAACCGTTCAAAAACAGAGTTTTGGGATGTTGGCGCGTTAAGCCTCTTGAAGACAGAGGTTTGGTCTTGACCACCAATGCGATTAAACACTGACGTTCTGGAGCTTGAATGGCTCATCCTATCGAAGACCGACGTCCGAGGGGAGGGTTTAAGCTCTTCTTGGTCTTGTTCAATGCTCACGCTGATGTGTTGAGCGCTAGTGTTTTTCGCTTTGTTTGAAATCATCACAGGTGCATTTGGTGTGAAACCAAGTCCGGCTTTGTTGTTGTCAACTCCGTAACCATGCTCCTTCAACTTCTTTTGAGTTTTGGTAAGGTTACGTTCTTCGTCATTGACGGTGTTTGAAACCTTCTTTCCAGCCACCGCAGAAGAAGCGAAGTCGTACCCGGCCTTTGACATGAGTTTGTAGGCGTTAGGGTCGAAACCTTCCTCGGTCCTTTTGGTTGGAAGAAAGCTTGATTCCACCTTCTTTGGTAGAGCTTTTATGAAGCCTTGTGGTAGTCTTGCGACCTTAGCACCCCCTAGCTGTGTCAAAGGCAAAACTGCATTTGTCTTGAGCAACTTCACATTATCCGTGTGCCACTGTGTGTCGGCTTTTCTTGTTTCAGTTTCGAATGGAGATTGACCATTCTTTCTTCTTGACATCGGGATATATCGAAATATGGGTGCATTCGATCCTTCTGACGGCGTCCTACTTCCTTTGGTTGTTGCAGGTTTAGCAAACTCGTCATCGTCTTTGCTTGAAGATGGCACAGTCTGCTCTTTTTGCATTTTAGGGATGACTTGCCACTCCTGCTTTGTAGGTGCTGCTTTGCCCGTGGATCTGATATCTTCCGGCAGGGCTTCGGGTACCATGTCTTCATCCATGTAGAACTTGGCGTCTGCAAAGTGTGATTCGGCTTCGGTGAATGGCTTGGTATCACCTTGGATCACCTTCACCCCTTCTCGGTAAAATTTTAGGCATTGGTGAAGGGTGGACGGCACTACCCCATTTGCGTGGATCCAAGGTCTTCCTAAGAGCAAGCTGTAGGAAGTTCTTGCATCAATCACGTGGAATATCGTGCTTGATTTGAGCTCACCAATGGTCATCTCTACTCGGATCATGCCCATCGCCTTTTGTCCTCCTTGGTTAAAACCCTGGATCAGCAGACGGCTCAAGGATAGTTCATTCACCTTGATGCCGATTATAGTCATTGTTGATTTTGGCATGATGTTTATGGCCGACCCACCATCCACAAGCATGCGGTTGACTTTGTATTCCCTTACGTACCCTGAGACGAAGAGAGGACGGTTGTGAGGCTTTGATCCCAGCAGTAGGTCTTCGTTAGTGAAGTTAATTGTGTCATGGGTGGCACAACATGTGGCACATTCATGTGGCTGAAGCTTCAAGCCTTCGTCGTTACTTTCTCGCACTTCGTGGTCGTCGGGACCTGCCAGGACTGCTGCTAGTGCTCTTCGTATCCTTTTTGGCAATGGTAGCGCTTCCTCGATGCTAAAGT